GAGGGCGACTGTTGATTTGACCAATATTCGTAGCGCTGCAGGAGCTGCAGTTTTAAGATGTTCTGCCTCGTTCACCTTACAGGCCGGGCTTCGCGCCATCGGTGTTTCGGGCAGTTTTCGAAGATAAATGAATATCTAAAGGGTACACAGTTGGCGCCCGACGACGAGGTTACTAGATATAGCCCCGAGAAGTTCGCGTGGCGCCCCCTTACGGCGAACCGGGGTGACGTCACGGCGAGAACTTTTCCGCGACTCGCCCCGCTCGCCCTGTGGAGGCTGTGGCGACGCTAGGTGTCGGCGCGCTCGTTTCTATTTAATTTTTTTTTGCGTGTTTTTCGTAGGAAGTGTGAATTTTTATATGTGCCTTTATTGAGGTATGGCTTGTAGCTACAGGCGAAACTTCAACCAACATTTTAAGCATGGTTGACAGGGCGGGCCACGCATGAATCACAGCTAATCTATGAAAATAAAGAAATGTGGCCACAATTGCAGGATCATCACTATAGATTTACATCTCGCACAATAAATGCTGCTGATGGTCTGAATGAATTGGCAGGTTATGTATAGTATTTTTTTTTTTTTTGTATCTCTGTTTTCAAACAAGATCGCCGAAGCAAAAAAGTTGCATGCTGCTCGAGCAACATGATAAATACAGTCTGGGCCATGGGGAGAGAATCACAAGTAAGACAGCCCAAGTGAAGGGACAAAGTAAAAAAACAAGAAAATTTATTATATACATTGCTCGCATTTGACCTTTGCTGGATTCGGGTAGTATTTCAATGGACTACACGGGTGGTATCTGTGGACTTGTTTATATCAACCCTCAAGTAATGTATAACAAACGTAAGCGCTCAAGTAATGTATAACAAACGTAAGCGAAGGTGTCTAGCTCGTTATTAGCCCCATAAGCCCTAAAATTGATATTTTACTTAAATCGAATTGTCCTGAAGCTAAAATACCAGAAGCTTTTCTCACGCAGACTGTCGCCCTTCACAGGTTCATTTTCTGCTCCTAGCGAAGCACCTACCACTGGACAGACGTTCGAATGCTTGCTTTTACTCCTGTTTTCCTTTGTTGTCAGAAAGTCCAGCTGTAGGAAGTTTGGAGGCTGAGGAAGCTTTTGGGGACCTGCAGCAGTGTCTCTTTTAATTGGAAAGGCCGACAATTTAGACTAAACGGCGTATTTTCCGAATACCCAAGGCTAAAATAAAGAATGTCAGGAAAAAGTAAAAACATTCCAAATTACGGTACTTTTGCTGTGCATATTTTGCGCAGTTCAATACATATCAGACAGGCAACTGGGACAATTCGGCCGTTTTTGCTGTTACCATACAAACTAATTTCCAGTAATTGTGCGTCTTCTAAGAAATATGTCGGCATTCGTGTATAAACTATATAATTAATTCATGAAGAAGCTACATTTATGTAAAACCCTGTTCCACGAGCACTTCAAAGATCATCAGACGCAGGGCCTTTAAAACATCTGCGAACCAGCGCATGCAGAATGGAAGCGCAGAGTCGGGGTCGCGAGCTAATTTGCCGACCACCCAAAGGCCCAGGATATAAATGCCACTTCAAATGCCTTAAAAGAGGGATGTAATATCGTCCTAAATCATGAACATACAAGGAACAGAATTCCAGCGTCTGAAACACTTGCGCCACCACTTCGCCAACCTCTCGCAAGATTGCTTTGTGTCGTGTGGACGGACGGGGAGGTTCATCGGCAGAATTGCCTCCACCGATAGCTTTCGGGATTTGAAATTCAATTTTAAATGTAAAAGGGACGAGCAGGCTCATAAAATGTACGGAAGCACGCCAATATCGACCTAACTCAACGTCCTGGGGCCCTAAACTCGTCAAATACAAAGTTGTAGCCGAAAGTTCGCGGAGTGCGCCGATTGGACGTCGACGAGAAAAACGCGAAGTCATTGCCGTGATCGTCCAATCGGCGCGCTCCGTCAACTTTGCCTCCAACTTTGTATTTGACGAGTTTAGGGCCCCTGGGGCCCTAAACTCGTGAAACACGAAGTTGGGGCCGAAGTTGAGGGAGCGCACCGATTGGACTATCACGACGATGACTCGGCGTTTTTGTCGCCAACATCCAATCGGCGCGCTCCGCCAACTTTCGGCTCCAACTTTGTGTTTCACGAGTTTAGGGCCTTTGTACACCGGGTAAACGAAGTCCAGCTCCTCGAAGAGCTTGCGGCACACAACGACAAACCAGGGACCCTAAACTCGTCAAACACAAAGTTCGGAGCGAAGTTGACGGAGCTCACCGATTGGACAACCAGGACGATGACTTCGCGTTTTTGTCGCGGACGTCCAATCAGCGCGCTCCGCGAACTTTCGGCTCCAACTTTGTGTTTGACGAGTTTAGGGCTCCAGGAAACCGGTGCTCGGAAGCGAGCCGATGCGAGATCGCGGAGCGGAGTCCTCCCCCTGACGTCACGGTACACCTCACCCAATCAGGGCGCGGCGACCGCAGCGACGCTTGTGTTCGCTGTCGGGGCTAATAGGCTCCCTACCGGAGCCAGAGTTGCGCATTTGTTTTCCCCGCGCCGCCACGCCGCTATTCGCCGAGATCCATCACGTGAGGAGCAAAGCATCCGGTGGCGTGCAAGAAAGCCACCATTACGGTCGCTTCGCCGACGTTTCTCTTGCTCCGGCGTATGTTTCCCTGCTTTCCGCCTCCTTTTCCTCCTCTCCTGTTTTCCATGCGCGGCGGTGCGCGCGGCGCCGCTATTCGCCAAATTTAGTCACGTGAGGAGCAAAGCATCCAGCTCGTGCGGGAAAGCCGGCGCTACGGCCACGCGCCGAGGCTGAATGCGCAACTCTGCTACCGTAGGTAGCTATAGGTAGCTATACAGGAACTCTAGAGGTTACCGATACAGTGCGCCGTCGGTGTCGTCGACAGCCGCCCTCAATCAAGCGGGGGGGTCAGGTGTTTGTCAGCGTACCATGTTTAACGCCCCCCTCGCCCTCCCAGTTTCCATGCCCTAAATTTTCACACATGCAGAATTCAAGAGGGAAGTCAAGACATCTGGACCCCCCCCCCCCCCCTTCCTAAATCGGCCACAGGTTACACGAGTGGCAACTTTAACGCACCAGCGCACTTCCCAGGCAAGCTTTCTAGGATTTATTGATGCTCGACACCGACTAAAACCATATATTTATGCAAAAGAAAAAAAGGGAAAGTAACGAATTTTAGTCAATTAACCGGCTTACCTTGACGATTATCCCCCTATATTATGTCCTCCTGGCCATAAAAACTCGCCCCCTGTACACACCGGATCGGCTTAGAAAGCCGCATTTCAAGGCATCTTAAAAACAAATCTGTAAAGCAAAAAAATAAATAAATAAATAAGACACATTTTCGTCCCTCTGTTTGTTTTGTGCTTTCTTACTGTTACCTCTATATTTAAATTCCAATTTTTGTTCCCATTATGGCTGCTTCATTCATTGTGGTCACGTGACAGGCTATCTTTCCCACTCTTCATAGTCAGTCATAATGTCACTGGGTCCTGGAAAAGTAGCACCATGGGCGGCCGTATGATTCATTGAATGAGCAATTTCTCCTAGACCTCGATCCGTTCTTGGTGCGCCGATCTAAATTTGCTGGCAACAAGTAGCTTTATAGAGAGGTTTCTGGAATACAGAGATTTCGTCATCCACACACTGGCGGCGCACATCTTCGCACCGCCACCAGATGCGGCACCTGATTGATGAGTGGATTTCATGCACAGCACCAAAGACGCTTATATTGGCGTGGAACGACACCTTCATTACGATGATGCTCCAAAGTGATCTTGGGCGACTGGTTTAGAACGACCCTTCCGAAGCTTCGAATAGACCAAAATGGTGATTGCCATGGCAACCAAGACCGATCAACCAATCACCTTGCGAGGTTTGGTTGTAGGTCAGTATTATATGTTTTTGCTTGGCGAGTAGGCAGGTATAATGGCGCTACTTTCCCAGTATCCCACGACTTTACATCTCATTGGCTTAGATATAGTCAATACGCCCGAAGCTCCGCTTCCAGGACGCGCTCGGCAACTTCCCTTGCGCTTTGGCCGGGCGTGCTCAAGAAACCCCAAAGTGTTAGGGGGAAAGCTCGCGCAGTGGGCAGAGCCTACGATATTCTTAACTTGTTTCCAACTATACATGGCTTGCATTGAGATTGCATCAGCCGAGTACGTAGCTTCTGCAGCATATATACATTTCACGCCACCAAATGCTTTTTCTCTAAGCAAGAAGCAGGAATAACCACTTGCATGGTGCAATGACATCACGTGCAAACCATGTATAGGCCACACTGCAGAGTTTTTGTCACCAATGCGGGCCCCATGTTGGCTTTATCATCACCACTTTCAGTGGTATGTCATTTCATTAAAACACGGGAAAGTCTCTGTCCAGTATAATCGTACCACTAATTTGGGGCATGCCGAAAGAATCCATGAAAGCATTCATTGGCCGTCGTAGCTGTGAGCATTACTAATAATCACACGCTGACAGATACATTTCGCAAGATTCTTTTCGCACCCTAGAAACTGCTGAGTTAGGGAGGCGATAAGCTGTTTTCCACACAGCTCATGCCGATGACCACATGCGACTGGATGCAATAGCCGAGTGCGGAGTTCACAACTCGTACCATGAGCCGTGAATCTTTGCACTTGTGGGGCGCACAGCTAATGCTCGGGGCTCTGTCCAATGAATGCAGATTGCCTAAACACTCATTCACACAGTTGCATTCAACTACACGTTGGGACGAGATAATGACAGCGAGTCACCGGTACATCCCTACCTCGTATGTCGCATGCAAAACTACTCCCTGAATTGTTTGTCAACTGTCGTACAAAGAACAGATATCCCGGAAACTCTGAGAAGTAGTTCAGGGCAAGTCTTCACAACGTGGTCAAACGGTACTTTGCGGGCACATTATGTCATTAACTATGGCATAGTGCTCATTGCTCACACAGTAATCAAGGACAAAGACGTAAGCATTTTACTAAATGAAAAGATACTTTTATTTTTCGATAACTACATTGTACTTACAACAACTTGCTTATGCGAGAGTATTGATGCACGGATGCCCATATATTCAACAATATACAACTCTCGTTTTTTTTCTCTCTTCTTCGTCTTATCCACCTTATTCAAGACTGCCAAAAATACGGATCTGTCATATCTTCCAACAATGATAGTTCGCTTGTGTGTGTGTCGGTAGTCCCTGTGAATCTTGGCTCACACTAGTCTCGCAATGAGGGAGTACGAGGAGGAGCGAAGAATAGAAATGAAAGTGTGGGAGGCATTGTGGGACGTAAAAGTATGAGAACAAAAAATTGCATGTGCAGTACCAAGTTCTGTCAATGCCAGTTTCGTCGTCATATACACAAGTGTTCCTCGTGGCTACACAAAGCAGAATCTTCAAAAAAATGGAGGCGGGAAAATGCACAGACACCTTGATCCGAAGTTCTAAGAACCCTCATGATGGTGTACACACAAAGTAGATGTTAGTAGGGTCCGATAAGATGGGGAGACTCTTAACGACAGATAAAGAAAACAAAAGAACAGTATGAATGAAGGAGGGTTCCTTGGGTGCACTAAGGGATCTTGTCACCCGCTCAAAATGCAGAGCGACTTCTCTATGTTCGATACACAGAAAGAGCAAAAAACTATGGATATACACACATCTGTCTCCCTCTGCAAACAAAGGGGGCTTTCTCACTAGACATCAGGGTTTCGATGTATATAAACTCTCTTCAAACTCGGCTGAAAACAAGAAAACTTGTCCTCAGCCTACGATTTCATTAAAAGAAGAAAAAAGCAAACAAAACAACAAAAGGATGGAAAGGATGACTCTCTGCCGCTCTCTAATGTACAACCAACTCCGTGCGCATAAATCGGGCGGTCGGCCGATCGATCTGCAGCAGGCGGGGGTTGTGGAGACACGGAGAGGCCTCGGTAACAACGACCCGTTCCCGCAGGAGACGGGCAAACAACGTTATTCGGGATGGGCGGGGCCAGACGGCAACAAACGAATCGAAAGGGGTGCCCTATGTACAGAATAGACGGCCAAAAGACTGGTCAGAGTGGCACTACGACGCATCATTACAAACAACAACAATGACAACAACAATCCAAATTCAGGCATGCTGCTTCTTTCGATGAAATAAACGCTCTAGACACTGATGAGAGAGAGAGAGAGAGCGACTGAGAGAGAAAGAGAGAGAGGGTCCTTGTTGTAGCATTTGTGGTGGTTTGTTTGTTTGGACGTCTCGGGCAGTCGTTTCCGACAGAGTAGTCGTTTGGGCGCGCTTAGCGTGAGTGGCAGCGCTGTACGTTTGAAGTCGAGAGAACGGGGATACCGTGTCGCAAATCAGGCACTTCGGCAGTATGTGCTCGACCGACCATAATCTGTTTTGTTACTTTTTTTCGTCCCTCCCTTCCCCCCACTTCCCCGATTCCCCGAATGGGCTGTCGAATAGCGCAGGACCACAAAGAACAACAGGAAGACGTAACGTAAAGAGACACGGCGCCTCACGGGCACACACGTAAGTAAAGAGATGGACCCGCAAAGAATCCACCGATTGCGGTGGACCTTTCTCAGGTCTATCGTGGCAGGACTGGTGAATTTGTCATGGTGTTTTTACATCCCTTCCAAAAAAAAAGAAAGTTACGCACGTCGACGCGATGGCGTGGCAAACCCGTTTCCTTTCGCAGAGACGCGCCCTACGACGACGACACGAGGCGCAGGAGTTGGGTTTGTGCGCCCGCTCATTTCGTGAGATTTGTACTATAGGATAAAAACACGCATGCACACGCATGCACACACACACACACATACACGGCGCAAAATAAAACTATGTACAGATCAGCCGTATCCTTCTCATTTCTTCCCTCGCACCAGCAGCCCCCTTTCCCCCTTCGTGCGTTTGAATAGCGTGGCGGCGACGCGAAGCTCGTTCGCGATCGAGGGACGTCGACCCCAGACGGCAGCCGGCGCCAAGCTTGCCAAAAGCAGAACCAGAACCGGAACGTGGAAAACGTGCCAACGAGAAACGCGACGACTCCCTCGTTTATTTTCTTGTTGCTTCTCGCCCTTTCCCATTTCCAAGACATCGAAGGCGGTGTGCCCGATCCCGAGGACGCACGCGTCGTGCGCATTAGACGGGCGGTTGCACGCCGCACGGCAGTGGCAAGGCGGGGGCGGCAGTGAAAGCGTGCAAAAAGGCAATGGCGCTTCCTCCTTCCCAGTTTAAGTAGTGTGACGGAGTGACAGACACGTGAGCGTGAATGACACGGCAGCACCGACCTGCACCACCCTTTTCCTGGTGTTCTCGGTCCTTCCGACCGCCGCCGTCGCCCCGATGTAACTTAAAGGCCGGCGCACACTTTGCGCTTTCCACCTTTTCCCATCTCCTTTTTTCCTGTATCTCTCCACTTTTTACCTTGCCCCAATTTGGCTACCCCTCGCATCTTAGGAGAGGGAGCGCCAAGATGATTTTCTTCCCTGCAGAAGATTGAGGTTGTACGCTGGCCTCTAAGAACGAGCGAATGCGTCGTGCCGTATGCGTAGTACTCCGACGAGATGCGGCGAGGTCAAGGAGCGATTTGTAACCCTCTCTCTCTCGAAGTCATGGCCATTAAAGAAAGGCGCGGCGACGGCGGTTGCGGATCGGAGGTGGCGCGATGGGAAACAAGAAGGTCGGACGATTGCTCCGACCCAAAGGCTAAAAAACAAAAATGCAACAAAATACACTAAACTTGCAAAAGAAAGAAAAAAAGCGAACGGGATAGCAACGCTTTTCTCTACACACACAAAAGGGCGGCGACGGCTTCTTGTGGCGGACGCGGAGAGGGATCGGACAAAATCGGAATGCGATGACGACGACGGCGGGAGGGAGGTGTGGGCGGGGCCTGGGGAGACAAGGTTGTGGAGGAGGGCGGGGCTAGACGAGCGCAGGCACCGACTGGTCGAGAGCGTTGAGCAAGTCCTCGCCCGTGAGCAGCTGTTGGATGGGAGCATTGACCTCCGCGTCCAGTTGGCTCAGGTCCTGAAGGCTCGGGATTGGCTCGTCCAGTAAGAGGGGGGCGGGGCATGGCGAGGGTGCCGGGAACCTCTGCGGGGAGAAAAGATAAGCGAGGCTTCAGGATTGTGCAGAAGGTTGAAAACGCAAGAACAAAATCGTGTCCGGTACAATTTGCACGGAATCTATATTCGGCATCTATGTTTTTGTGCAACGAAATCGACAGCACCTAGCAGCTCGAATAGAAATCTATGGCGGCAGGTTCGCTCGCCAGCCTTCTCGAACGAATCCGATATTCGCAGCGCCTGGTGGTCCGAAGAAGCCATGGAAGTAGGTTATAAAAACATGCGATGAAAATCATTAATACTCCTCCCACCCTTTAGTTGAGACTGCAGCCAGGGCTACAAGCATGAGAACACAAGATTGCGGCTTTGTAACATTGCTCCGCAGAACAGGCGTTCCTGCTAGAAAGGCGCATCTCAAAGTCAGGAGTGTGGGCTAGCTAAAGGGCGGACGGAGTACTATAGCGTAGTTTCAGCAGCGTTCCTAAGCTGTCAAAGCTGCTTGTGCAGGTGTGCGGCTTCGAGTGAGGTCTCCTTTGCACGAGAAAAAGTGCAACGAGATGCGAGACAAAGTCATGGGCTCGTGCAGTAGTGCGAGGCTGCAGCAGTGTGGATATACGCTCACCTAGACAACGTCGAACAAAAAAGTTAATGCAGAGTATTGAGCTATGAGTTTTCCAAACATGGAAGTTAAAAGTTTTGTCTTTCCGATTTAATTACTAAAGATGAGCTCGCTCAAGTATGATGTTACAGTAATAAAGCTGTAGCCGAAAGCTTCATCACACTACTTTTGCAATCCTTCCAGGTCAGAGTCCCGTGAAAGCTTGCAGCACCCGGTAGGAGTTACAATTCGGGGACCACTGAAAGTGTTTTGTTTCCGATTTTATCGCGTCAAGTTCAAATGAGTGCCGAGATGAAATAGAGCCGAGCCATTCGAAGGTTGTTGTGTGCATTGCCAGGAGCACATACCCTGTCGTAGCGCAACGTTTGGCACAGGTATCCGTGGCTGGCATCCTCTCCATTCACCAGCAGATTCAGCAGCACGCTGTCTTTGTTTTGCAGCTGCAAACCTGTACACACAGACAAAGAGGCAACAGCACGTAAGCCATCAGCTCACTTCGGACTATTGCATCGACAAGCAACGAAGACTCGACAGGTGCCTGCTGATGGTGTTTGCTTTTCTCGAAGGTCAGAGCTTGTCAGCCAGCAGATGAAACAATTCTACCGGACAGAATGAGAACAGCAAAACTTGTCTTCCGCTGTGCTTTGGCTGTGCACACACACTCGAGACGCCAAAACATTGTCTAAGGTAGGACGCTTGCGATAAAGGCAAAACAACTGAAGCACCTTATCAGTAACTAGAGAGCTACATAAAGCTGCAATCTTACAATGAATTCCGCACGCAGGTTTGGAGCGCGTTGAAAGTGCCCGTTTAGGAGCGTGCACCTCCTGCTGGCAGATCCGGCTCAATTTGGACATTTTTCGCTCGCAAATTTGTGGCAGCGCAAGCTTCGCGGAGTGCTTTCAACCGTGCCGAAACCGCCCGGTCAACTTCGGGAGATCTCCCCGGAAGTCAACAGCGGCGCACCACGGAGCCCGCACGCTCACGTCACGGAATGAGCATGTCCGATTTGGTATGGTAGATTGTTTACGCGGGTAGTGACGGGCAGTAGGTGCGGTGGGTGCATTACGTCTCAAACGCTGCTACCTCGCATGGTTCGAAGGGTGTAGATGCGGGACTGGAGCGTAATCGTAAGCGCCGACGTCTGCAATCCCAAGAGGAAGAACAAAAAAAGGAACGACAGAAAATCCGAAGGCAGTAGACGTGAGGTCAGACATATTCATTGTGCTGCAACCGATGGCTTACCTACATACTAAAGCCCGAGCCGGCTGATTAACGAGCGGCTCGCTCGCTTAATAACACTGTCTATGATTGTTTACCTTTGTAATATGCATACAGCAGGCGTTTTCTTGCGCAATAAAGCAAGAACAGACAAGGGGAACGACCGTGCAAGTGATGGCTTGCTACCTCTTTGTGCTTATTAAAGTTACAAGCAATCGGCTTCACCGATGGCAAACACTGTGCTTGCTTCGCTGCTCTGAGGCAACCGAAAGGTATGGCGGTTTGGGAAGGTGGCAAACGTGGACGTCCTCCTCGCTATTTGTGACGTGGTGTCCGAGGTATGGACAATGGGTCAGGCCTGTGTCACGTGTTGCTTCCGCAGCTCGACAGGGACGGTTCTGACTGGTCGTCTGAAAGCTCGTCGAATTTGAGCAGCGGCCATTTTTAACACAGTAAGCCGTCACCGGTGGGTTGCTCCAAAAATGCGAGTCCAGCTTGTGGATTTTGAGGGGGTCTCACGGAGAGGAATTTCGCCTTCCTCGCATATTTTGGAAAGCACTCCAAATCTAGTAGTGGAATTCACCATTCGACACATAATCCCTGTGCTAATGGCACCTCGAGGTGTATAATTTTAGCTTTGTATCAAGCGCGTCTCGCTCAGAAAATCTTGTCCCTGTCTATTGACGAAGCTAACAAGGTAGCCTCCAGAAACCAATCAAGTTTATTAAAATAAAAGGCACAGCCTGTGTTAACGAGTCTCACATGGCTATTCTTTGGTAGAGAATGCGGATAAGCAAATTATTATGATACAGCCTGGAAGGCTTACGGAGCCATATATTGAGTGTTGTGCGCGGCACTGTTGACATGATTGAGCAATCACCGGTTTTTCTTGTATTTCTCTTAAAAATGAATGGCTGCCATAAAAGCGACTACCGTAAAATACTGTGGGAGCGTTCACTTTCCCTTCACTAAAAACTGGGTTAATGTAGACATGCGCTTGTCCAGTCGAATCCGGCACCTAACATGCATTTTTCAGACTTCCCAAGCTTTGGGAAATGTTAATAGTGGGTGCTCGAACGGAGTGGGCGCTTCCACAGTATTGTACGCCAGTGTGGCGAAATGTCTACAGGGGGGGCGGGGGGGGGGGGGGGGGGGCAGTAACCTAAGTAACCTAAGGAGTAAATATTGGTGCCCATCACTCCTCTGTCAGAGTAAAATGCGAAAATGCGAAGTTGTGTTTGCGTCAACAGTGATGCACAGTGCACATCTGAAGTTACTCAGACTCGGTAACTGTCACTGCAAGTCACCGGGACATCCGTACTTTGCATGACCCGTAAAAGGAGGTACTACTTGAATTGGTGGCGACGCTTCATACATAGCATATATGTCCCAGTGACTCGAGGTCATAAAACAACGTAAGCAGGTCTGAAAGCTCCCATAACATAATGCAACGCGAGCAAACAATATCGTGCGAACGTGTCCATCCTGAAAGGGGGCTCAAGAAAAAAAGTCACGCACCTTGCGGGTCCACCCGCATCCTCTTGGGGCTGCCCAGAGCCCCGGCCCCGCCTCCTCCGCTGCTGCTCCGTTTCGGCGGAGGTTCCGGAGGCGACGGCATCGCCATCTTCTGCTCCAGCGGCGCCGTCACGTATACCCCGTGCCGCCTGCCGTCCCCCGCCGTGTCGCCCGCGCGGCCGTGTCCCGCCATGGAAGCGTTCCGCTGCACCGCGTGGCGCCCAAGCCGCTGCTCGGGCCGGGATAGTGCCATCCCCGTTGCCCTCTGCGCCGCCGCAGCCCCCAGCCGCGGGTTCCGGTGTTGCCGGCCCCAGTCGCGGGGCCGGGGGGGCGGGGGGCAGCTCGGGAGAGACCAACAGGGCCGCCAGGCTGGACTTGGGGTCCGGGTTCGGCCCCAGGGCCTGGTGCTGGGCGTGCCGGGGGGGCACGGGGGGGTCGAAGAACGTCGGGCTGTGGAAGAGACAGCGTCGGTCGATGAATCAAGGGAGGGTTCCCACTTGCGGACCGTCCAAGCACGCGAAAAAAGAAACTTTAACCACACCTCGACCGAGATCTCGTGGTTATTGGCCCCGGTCCACTTACGGCAGCGAGAAAAAACATATGTAATCCTTTTAAGCTAGTCGCTAAATTTCCGTCTTAATTACCGGCCTGAGACCACGGGTCTTGGAAATACTTGAAGAGAATCGCTTGGCGAGTCTCGAGTGATGCGTGCAAAACCACGGGCCTTGCACTTGGTGTCGACTTTTTTGCGCCACATTGTCCGGGCTGACGTGGCTTCCACGGCACTGTCGAAGCTACTTGCGTAAGAAAATACGAACGTGACAAGACGACGCCACGCACCAGAGCACAGTTGTGAGGCTTCAGCACTAGACACTAAGCACGCCTTTAACGACGTAGTACAAAAAAGTTGAAGCTGAACATACAGTCTTGGACAGTTTGAGACATGAAGAGTTTGAAGTAGTTGCACATACATAAATCTAAAGGCTGGTTCACATATTTACATTTGGGTGCAATTGACTGCATTACGACGGCTTGCGATTGTTTATCAGTGTAGCCAATTTAGCATTTTGTTTAGTTGTTTAGTGGGAGAAATTTCCGTTTTGCGGTCAGTGGGATTTGTAGCGGTTTTCAAGTCACATCAATGTTCTTTCCGGTGGTCTAAAATGTTCTCCAATTCACATTTATCAATCGTGGATAGCTCAATTTATCTCGTAAGCTCGAGCCATGGGATTGTTATTTTTGCTTACTAACTATTTTTGTTAATATAGTAAAAAAATTTTAAATAACTATTTTTGTTCTAATATAGTGAGAATTTTATCAATAAAAAGTTGTTAATTTAACTGTAGTTTAAATTATCAGTAGGGTAATTTTTCTTCCCCATTCTTATAAGTGGTCGGACGAACTGATCAATCAATCTGCCCCGTTTAAAAACACATTTACGGTAACAATAAGGATTCACTATATTCTAGCTAGCCTTTTAAATCAAATTAATCCAATTTAAATTAAATTATTCCGAATTTAATTGAATAAATTTGACATAGATCAAACAAACCTGATTTAAATGATAACAAAACAGAAAAGGTGATTTTTTTTTTTCCACCCCGATTTTAAGCGGTATTTACTAAAAGTGCAAAAATGGTTGTTCTCCCCTTCGAAGAGGGTAGGGGAAGTGAGAGAGGCTTACGAAACCGACCTGTCGCAGAGCGAGCTGCGTCCTGAGGAGGTGCTGCCCTGGGGCGAGTCCTGTGGACCCCACATGACGGAGTCCGGCGGGCTCAGCAGGGGGAAGTCGTCCCCGCTCATTGAGATGTACGGGGCCCTCATGTCAAACTCGTCCTCCTGCAACAAGGGGAAAACACGCGTCTGTCTTGACTGCCCCTGCTATGGGACGAAGGGGTGGACGTAATCACAAGCTGCCAATGTCTTCCACGGCCATCGACTGTCAAGCCTTTTTGTTGTGTTTCCTGATGACGATCGGCAGGACGTAAGCTTAACTACTAGGTAAGAAGGCCAACATGGCTCGCTCGCCAAAGTCGCCTGGGCAGCTTTCCGACGAACGGGACCCTTTTCAGCAGTGCTGCTTATTCTATAGCTGGTGACGCCCGACTGTACAAGAGGCTACTAACAAGTTCTACATTCAGTGTGTCTAGGAGAAGTGTTTGCTATTTGCTTGCTTAGTGAGATGAGGCAATCAGAAAGCTTGTTATGAGAGGCATAGCAAACCAATAATGTAATATGAAAGTGTGGATAGTAAAAGGGCCCAATATAAAACTGAAGACACATTTCTCACACGCTCATTTCAGAGCCGAAATTCAAGTGACGCGTGTTGGATGGAGAGGCCGTACATCTCGAGTCGTCCCCCTTAGGCAGTGGTCTCAAACTCATTTAAGTGCGGGGACCAGATAGCCCACTTCTGGAAGGTCGAGGGCCAACGTGAGACGGGAGGGGAGTTTATTTATATACTGTCGAGATCAGTTATAACGAAGTCGGTTATTACGAAATAGCGGCCACATTGAAGCGTTCACAATTTCCCATCCCCTTTTGCACTTCGTTAACCGAAGTTGGTTATAACAAAATAGCGGATATAGAGAAGTGATTTCCGATTCGCGTTGACTTTGTTATAACCGGTCTCGACAGTAACTCCTTTGGGCTTTGACCTCATGCGATAACAATTGAAATGACACCGCCCTGCCAACGTGCCGGCATTTTTAATAAAACAAGAAAGCGAGTACAATGTTGTCTGCGTTGCTCAATTCACTTGGAAATTAACCAAGCTCAGCATTTCTCGAAAAAAAAATATAAGTTAATTCAACAGTTCTTACTTTTCAGACGATTTTTATTATAACACTTTGAACAAATACTTGTCTTTTAATAGTGATTTTTTCTTTTTTTTTTTTTAAGGTGAAAGTTTTGAGCTTTGTCTTTGGCAGTTGCTTCTGATAATCAAGAGTTTGCAAAGCCGAGATGCATCTTTTAACGAAGAGCTTGTGCTTGCAGCCTAGTAGCAGAATTGTTGTACATAGATTACAAACAGCTGGGAAGCAAAAGCTAAACAAAGGGCAAATAAACACAGATAACTATAAACTATGCGAATATGTTAAAACAGCAGAGCTACTTTTCAAGCGAAAATTAACTGGCGAGATGAGATCACTATGGCACATGTCATTTCCAGTGCATGGGCACCAGAACTCATAGACGGCTGCCTGCGGGCCGCATGTTTGAGACCTCTGCCCTAAGGTGTCAAAAGCAGTTCTTTCTGGCTGGTCCAAATTTCATCTCTCTAAGCTCATTGCCAACAATGGTGTAAACCCCTTTATTTTTGCAACCCCGATTTTTCGCGAAATGGGTGGAAAGGATATATTCGCGACCATTAAATTGGCAGCGCGTTCTCTCATCGAAAGAGATCACAAGAACCTGGACGCAAGCAAAGGCAAGTGTGCGAATGGGTCTTTAGAGGGCTATCGACCAATGCTCACAGATTTCATGGAGGACTGTATGCATATATAAAAAAAATGAATAATAAGTTGCTGCACAATTGTGTGGCACGTGAAACGTGGCGTCCACGCTCTCAGTGGTCTTCACTGGAATTAGTTTAGCAATTGGCTTAATGCATGGCATGTACACTTAATGCATGGCATGTACACGTTTTAAAAACGTGCGACAGGGTGTCAGGTTGCTATCTGCCGAACGCAAAGCAGGGACGCTTTCCCACCAAATAGCACCTCAACTCACAACGATGTTTCGTGACATGCTGGAAAGACACTTGCTGAATAATCTATATGGTCTGGGTTTGATTCCTGCCTGGCACAAACACTTTTTTTTTACTGCAATGACCTCTTCCCCCCTTCACTTTTGGGCTTCACGAAATGACGAACACCTAGCCAAAGAATGTTTCGCGTTAATAGAAACCTAGATGGTCACTAAAGCTAAGGAGTTATAACAGTCCCGTTTCCGAAACATTTCAGCCCTGCAAACATCACTGGTGACATCACACATACCTGGAGGTCCGTCGTTCCATCCGGCCGGAGGTCAAGTCCAGCAAAGCGGTCGACGGGGCTCTCGAGGCTCGGCACGTCCGAGAGTAGGCTGTCGGAGCAGCTACCGCTGCCCCGGCCTTCGCAGTCCGATGCGGGAGGCGTGCCGCACGAGTCGGGCGACGACAAAGGGTCCTTGTCGTCCCGGTAGCTGAGGAAGGGGTCCCTGTGGCCCAGAGGGCAGTCCTCCTCGGGCGGGAGCAGGGCATAGTCCGGCAGCAGCTTGCTGTTGTCTCCATAAGGGTCCGACAGGACAAACGTGTCGCCCAGGACATCTGGAATGGAGCGTCACCTTGGTTAACCTGTCAATTATTATTTATAGTGTGGTTCCACAAATCGAGTTCTTATCTCTAGAGCCCTTGAACATTCAAGGGCTCTCTGGAGTAGAGTTCGTGGGAGCACAGGGGTTCCCAAAAGGAGTACCCGAGAAATCCAAAGTTCCCAGGAGCTTCCAAATGCCCGCGACTTTCAAGAAGCCTACGCATTTCCAAAAGCCCCTAAATTTCAGAAAGCCCACGACTAAGTTTTCAGAAGCCCACAAGCTTCCGAGAAACCAGACGTTTCCAAGAGCTCTTGAATGCACACCCAGGAGTTACCGCAAGCTTTCAGAAGTCCTCAGGTTCCCACGACCTCAGAAGTTTGCATGCACCAAGGATTTCATATGAGCTTACGGAAAACCAGAAGTTCTCAAAGACTTCCCAGGCACACAGAAGTTCAACAAGTTTCCGGAAAGCCAGAAGTTTCACTGAAAGTTGCCAAAGAGCTCCCAGTCACCCAAGGGTTTCCACAAGTCTCTTGAAGCTGAGCTTCTGGACACCTAGGAGTGCCCATAAGTCTCTGGAAGCTTCCAGAAGACCGGAAGTTCCTAAGTGCTCCGGAGATTCTAGACTCCCAGGAGTTCCCACGGGTTTCCGGAAGCCCAGGAGATCACATAAACTCAGACGCTCCCAAAGGATTTCAGTGAGTTTATAGTGCTATAGTTCAGTGGCATAGCACATTAGTATTAAACTCTACATTTCAAACCTGGCGATATTCACACATTTCTACTTCTGTTGTCATCCACACTGTCAGTCTTCTAGCTGGACTATGTTTTGCACTGTTTATTGAGTGCCATACTACTTGTGCTTGGCGATCTCCAAGTATAATGAAGACGATTATGAAAAAAAAGTTGGCAGACATACCAGAGGGCAGCTCTTCCAGAGGAATACTGTCGTCTCCAGCCTGAGGTGCCAAGTGCGTCAGGTCTTCGGGATCAGAGTCTTCTTTCAGAACTGGTCGAAAGTGGAAAGAATGAAGCACATTATTAGGTCCCATGTCATACAAAAAAAGGCAAAAGCCAGACAACACTTGATAGAACAATAGAACATTGTGTGTGTAGAACATATACGTGACAAAACGTAACAGGTGGGATGCATGATGCTGCATCTTGTTGACATATTTCCGACCTGCATTTAGGACACGGCTTCTAGTGAAGCGAGTGTGTGCGTGAGCTCGGCCTGTTCTGGGAACAATTTGGAGCTAGCATATTCTGGATAAGATCCATGTGAAGTGCAAGTTCGTCTGCTGGAAAGACACTCATTGTCATCATTGCACAGGGGTTGCACAATGATGTCAGAATGCCAAAAATAAATTATTGGCCGATTGAAAAAAAAAAATAGTGGGTAGACCTTGATGCATCTAGAATTGACGTCCACCAACTATTCTTTCAATCAAAGCCAATCAGAGCTCTGCGTCATTGTGACGTCACTGCAACTCCCTGCGCAAGGAGCAGACGACTTACTCTCCGCATTTTAAGTTCATTTTCCAGGTACAAGTTAAAAAATGTTCCAGAAACTAAGGGGTTCTTTAGTACACACCTCCAATAGAACCATACTTTAAAGTGTGCATTTGTCAGAAATAAAGACCTATATTGAGGTGATTGCTTGGATACGCTTTACAAGAAAATGGTCCTAATAAAGTATGGCAAAATGCAACACTACTAGAGCCATTGATAGGGCATTTCCTTGATCATGCTATTTGTCCTGACAATTAAAAAATCCCCAGTAAATGCTGCCTTTCTTCAGAGAAAACTGACCCCCTTATATACAACAAATATTATTACAGTCACTTTGAAACAACTAAGAAAAGAGTGACAAGCACCTCTTGCCTAACAGAAAAGTTATTTAAAAGTGACTGCTAGTCTACCCAAAACGACTGTCAAAAGCGACATTGTTCTGACCTGGATCGAATGATGGAGAACCGGCATTGTACCAGATTTAAATGTGAAAGTGGTTTTGTGTTTACAGTATTTTTTTTTTATCAAACCTGGAATAGCGTGTTAAGTTGCAGCAGAGTATGTCACACATTACAAAGTGACAGCTGTAGAAAATTTCAGACGGCAGGTGTGTCCAATAAATTTCAGGGATTTACGTGCAAAATTAACAAAGGGCATCTGGCATGCCCCTGTGAAGGACTGGGGACTGCTTTAGAGACCACCTGGGGATCTCTCAACATGCATCTCAATGACCCAAAGCCAACTCCACAATCGGCATCTGTTATCTCACCCACCAGACTGGCATGTCCACCAATCGTTGCTCCCTATGAACTATGAGCTAAATTGTATCGTTCCCCAGAACTTCATTGTCTGAGCAGTCCCAAGGCCCTGTCACACAGCAACCAAAGCTACTCTTGCAAGCGTGTGGCCTCATTTGATGTGTCCCTCACACGAATCTGTGTCCGAACGAAATGCGAGACAAAGCCATGTGCTCGTGCAGATGAGCAGGCTGCACCACCATGGAAATTATGTTAGACTTGACAATGTTGCATGGAAAAGTTGACACTGAGCAGAGATATGCCTGCAAGTCGATGGTACTTCCATGCTAAGTACATTGCATTCCAAGCCACTTCTTGAACTGGTTGTCACACTTCTTACCAAGCACAACTGTCCCGGTAACCCACGGCCGCATCTCACCATAAAGGCTGGTTCAAACGTGCATTTTAGCACCACTGACTGCGTTTCGACTCTGTCTTCTTGCATTGCGCAAACCTCGGCCACCTTACCAACACATAGTAGCACCTCGTTGTAAGCAGTCTTAAGCGACTGTGACGCAGTCGGTTGCACTTGGAAGGCAAAATGTCTGAACCTGCCTCGAGTCCTCGCAACACAAATGAACATGATTGAATACCATCTTATGATTGCGCCTTCAAAGCAGGCTTACAGGTAGCATCTCGGTGTGACCAACTGCATCACAATCGCCTGTGACCGCACAACTCCGACAACCGGCAGTGCTCGCGCTGCTGCCATTACAGAGTCGCAGGAGCAACGCTGCACTCACCTGTGAGGCCGCTGTCATCGTCAGCGAACATGAGGAAACCTTTGTTCATGTCCGCGGTGCGGGGTGCGAAGATTTTGGCAGTGCTGCTGGCTACCGGGTAGCAGGGCACCGCCCCTTGGGCTGCCTCAAAGGCCTCCTCAAATGGCTCCGCCGGGGGTGCCGGGGGGCGCTTCTCGGGGGGCTCGGGCGCAGCCGCCGCTTTGATCACTTGGTCCTCCGACACCACCTCATGTTCCTGGCTGGTCCCACTGCGGGAAGCGTGCGACACATCCTTTGAGATACTGGCTACCTAACGAGCCGAGCGAAAACGTAGCAAGAAACGAGGCATATACAGATTGATTTGTACGCGTTTCCCCATAAAAAGAATCCATCAAACTAGACGTAAGTCTATCACCTGCTCCTAATGATCTTGTCCGGCGGTTCTTAAACTGCAGTTTGTGGACCCCCGGGGGTTTGCGGCATGGCACCGTTGGAGGTGGTTCGCACTGAAGAGGGTTTCAGTTGTGTTGAACAGAACATCTCTGCGGCTGTGGTAGAGCTAGTCTCACGAGTTACCGCATGCCGCGTGAGCCTTTGCTGGTTTTCAGTTGCAAATGCATTTTTACTACGGGCTTTCTCGGAGAAAGCACTCGGACACATGCTGCCATTTTTGCTTTCCACTGCAAGGTCTTGTCTGGGCTTGTTCGCGGAATGCTCAAGGCAATAAACGTGATCTATGTTCAGTCAGAATGACGACATCGACTTTCCTCGCTTTACCAGTTCCCCATGTATGCAACATGCTGTTGTTACATGAAAACATTCAATGTGTGTTCACAAATAAGTCCCGAGATAATTGGCGGGTTCATGGCAGGGCAACATTTGAGAAGCACTGATCTAGCCAAGTGAAGACAAAAAAGCCAAAAGTGCAGAACTTAATATATATTTTCTACGCTACAGTTTCCCAACCATTGTAAACAATGCTAGTATATCTGCAGATTTTTCAAGTATTGCACTCCGGAATATTTCTTAGGAATTAAATTTTGCAGGGGGGGAGGGGGGTAAGCTGCTCCATAAACCCAGTTTCATAATTACTGTGGACGATTTATTTGCACAGCCGAATTTTCACAACCTTTCTAAATTTGTGAGACAATACTTAGGTAGTGCAGAAGTTGTACACGAAAACATATAAGCTGGTCACAAGACTGAAACATAATTTTGTAGACCATGTGTGCTCCAGCTATTGCGCTTAAAATGAATAAAACGAAACAAACAAATTAAAGGGATTTGGGACATATTCTTTTTAAATTTTCCATAGAAAATAAAACTTTTTCTTGAAATATTTCCGCTATTAGACGCAATTTAGGTGGAGGTAACACGCTGTAGGCACCACTCAGGAACGTAGCCCCATTTCTTGGCTCTCATTGGTTGGAAAGATGATTGACATGAGGAACGTTTGTTGTAAAATTATTTCTTCATGCCACAGTAATCTTTAATTCAACATTTGTTTTATGTCTGAGAAACAATCTATATTTATTAATAAATCATTATTTATTTTAAAAAAATCCCGAGGCCGTTTTTTCCACTTTGGTTTCAAACAATCATGAATATGGCTGCCGGCATTTCCAGACAGCGGTTGCGTCTTACGGGCGTTGCAGACAGTGATAAACGGTGGCAGAATAGCAGACGATGCCAAAGGCTGCTGCGCGTCTGCTAGTACGACTAGGCGGTGTCAGATATCAAACTAGATTCACTGGACATTGCGACAAAGAGACACTAGGATTGCGAGCGTGTTCGGTCGAGCAGCCAAGCCAATCCATTAGTAATGGGCGGGGCCACTGATCTGTGGGCAAGGCTTCGAGCGGGCTGCGACGTCCACCTAAACTGCATGTAACGCAAATATTGTTCAAATTTTTTTTTTTTTTTTTTTTTTTGTGGTCAAATATTTAAAAGAAGTATGTGTCTTATTTATGCTTTTCTAATTTTTTTTCTTCATTTTAGCGTTTTTTTTTTAAAAGAGAACAACTCTTCTTTAGTAAAGCACCTTGAGTTGGAAAGTGTTTCCCACTGCCACTAGACGTTACTGTTAAAAATGTAGGAGTTAAAACGGCTAACCAAGCTACAAACTGATTTCTCTACTACAATTCTCAGATGGGTGATGAGTGTTTACATATGCTTCCTCTTAGCACTAAAATGCTGAAGTTGAAAGACTGATTGCATATGGTTTTACAGGTACCAAGTTACATGTGAATCTAGTCCAATATCCGACACCACCTGCTAGTCGTGCGAGCAGACGCGCAGCAGCCTCCGGCATCATCTGTATTGTACAGTGCACATACATATTTATAGCATTCCTTCTTTCCTCAAATGCTTTAGGAGCAATCATTATTAGAAGCTGGGCACAAAGTGATGCAATTTACCGGAGTTATTTCGTGCCACCTTTTGGAGCAGCAAAAAGTACTTTTGGAGCACAAGCATACACTTCATTCTTATTCATGCCACCGTGAACAATATATGCAAGATTCATGTGCTGGCCTATCCAACTAAAAATGTGCACGCTTTGCCTTCACACTTCTGTGCAATGGCAGGTTTGATTATCTCAAACACAAAGCACATAGAAGCACAAGGCATGGCAACAAGATGCTGATCGATGAAGGACAGTATGAACTGCTGTGAATGGTCATTTTAGGTACAAAATAAAATGTAAATCAAAAAGTATATTCCACTGAAATAATGTTAGAATAATCTTGAGCGCACAAATTGAAATTCTAAAGGTTGTAATAAAAAAAACTCTTAATTAATTATGAGGATCTGTATGCAGATCCTCATAATAACGGAGATCGGCATGTGAATGATAGGCATGCCTTCTTAAAAGAATCCAGCCAAAGTCGTTAAGGTTATTCGTAAGCTTTCTTCTACTGCCTCGTGTAATTTAGTTTTAATTTATTCTATTGAATGCACCTTGAATGGATGAAACACATATAAAGCTGACAACTAAAGAATGTAGTTCAAATAAAAAAAAAAAACCTACAGAGGAGTTCGTATGAATTACCTTGCAAGTACCCTCAGCTAAGTCCTGAATTTGAAGAAAATATTGCCAAAATACCGCAGTCTATCATAAATAATAGCTGCAGTGTAATTCAGAAATTTTTACTGCAACTAAGAGCTGCTGCATTAACACTCACGAAGTTGCCTCCTTCAATATACCCAATGCTTGCATGTTTAGCATCCTGCTCTGGGGGAATGCTTTCCCTTTAGCATTCAGATACACTGCGGCAAAGGAAGACAAGCAAATTGTGATGCTTGCTTCGCAGTTGCCACTTCACTGCACTACACAAGAGCGCGGCGAGAAGAGCGCTCAACAAAGCTGACTTACACGCCAGACTAGGAACACAAGAGATATTGAGAGAATTCTGAGCACTGTCGGTGTTTAACACTGACAGAAAGATAAAATAGGATATAATATGTTACCTGCGGCTAAAACTGAAAGTTGTGAAAATTCTCACAAGTCTACCATAACAATCTGGACGTGCAGCGGGAACTGAGCCATTATATTTTCAGTACTAATAAAGTGAAATGAAGTTTTGCTGCCATGTTGGCACAAGTTCCTCACATCTGGGCTAAATGTGGCAGGATGTAACAGGGCAGTTTGGCGCAAATGGAGCAGCAATCACATCACTGGGCACCAGGCACGTAGCCAGGGGGGAGGCCCATGGGGCCCGGGCCCCCCCCGAAATCTTCGATTTTGCCGGGACCTGCTCTCCCCCCCTCCCCCTTATACAGCAATTCGTCATGGGCGGGCACCCCCCGAACCAAAATCCTGGCTACGTGCCTGCTGGGCACAGACTAACAGAAGCACTTTATTTTCTGGCTTCAATCCAGCCTCCACAGCCTAAAGGGTCTAACCATATGCTGGAAAATATAGTACCAAATTTACGAAGTTTTGCTGGCACAACTGTCAGATGACCAAAACAACCTTCCAGTTTCCTTATCATCTAGCTTCAATCTATCCAAGCAGGCTGTCATAGACCGCAAAAACAAACAATGATTGGTTGTGATTGACTAATTACAAATTTATGCTGATTGCTTGTTCAGGAGTGGTTATTCGCTTCTGTTTAAGCAAATGACAAACTCATAGGTAAGGAGAGGTTAGCGATCGGCACACATATATTACGGCTTGGATTTTTCAGCAAATGGAAATAGGTGTTAACACAGAAATTCGGGCGAGTTAGTTGCTTATGATATACGGGGGGAACAGCGCACTCGCAAACAGTCACTCACGTCCACACACAAAAGATAACACACTTACGCAGCGCTAACAACTTTATTACACTGTTTTCTTTTTCTTGTATTACGGACTAGGGCCAGGGAGAATAATTGGTCTTTTTTCTTTCAATGGGAAGCTAAACCGAAAACTAACTATATTGAAATTAATGTCTAGTTCTCTTTGTGATAAGGCTAAAGTCAGTGTAGATGTGTTAGTACATCGTCTTTAACCTTATCAAAAAAATAACTAAACTACCTAGCCCTACACTAATTTCAATTTAGTTAGTTCTCGGTTTAGCTCCCTACTAAAAAAAAAAAAGACCAATCATTCTCTTTGGCCCTAGTCCATAATATAAGAAGAAAAAACTGTGTAAATATACGAGAGAGTTGTTAATTAATTGGGTTGTGTGTGTGTTTATACAGCCAAGAACTTGGTCTGCCTCACAGAGGCGACCTAGTCTCCCTGCTGTAGATGAGCAATTTAGCCAGTGTGGTACAGCCTGGGGTTTTTAACGTGCACCACGCAGTAGTGATACACGACCGCACGCCGGTACGATGCTCATCCAGATCGAAACGGGCAGGGGTGGGGCTCGAACCCAGGATCCCTGGGTTCTGCAGCGCGAGCTTTCGCTCCACGTGCTCCGAGCTGGTGTGCGCTAGACCACTCGGCCACCGAGTGGTCTAGCGTTGTTAGGCAGCACTGCGTAAGTGTCTTTCTTTTTTGTGTGTGCACTTTGACTGTTTTGCGGGTGCACTGTTCCCTCTGTAGATCATGAGGAAATAGGTGCTGCATTATGACAAAGTAATAATAAATCTCTTATGTTGCTAGCATTCAACCGGACATATCTTTCTAGAGTGCTAAGAAATTATAAAAATAACTTAAAATTGCACGGGGAAGACACTCAACAATGTGAGTTAGGCAGAACAGCTGTACTTCTGAAAGGGCCACCATGTTAAATTTTACAGATAAAATGCCAACTGTGCAGGGTCCAGCAAAAAGAAAAGAAAAAACAACAAATGTTATGGGACGCCTGTTTTGCAGCCAGGCATTTCTACCTCTTTCGAGAAAGCGTCCTACGCTCTCAATCAGGGCAGCTGCAGGTGTTGCCCCTTATCAGTAACAAGCTTTAATTAGATAAACTCGTGAAAATTCAAGCCTAAAGGGTCTCCAAAGCACAGCAAGTGTATATAGTGATATTGGGCCAAGCATATTACACTATCACCTAATATGAGTCAGTCTAAAGCTCAGCCTACTCTGTCACTTAGAACTTAAACAGTTTTTTTACCTATCTACTGTTTTACCTCACTTTTAGTATATTTAAGATTACAGAATCATGAATATGGATTGTGGTCAATAGTCATTAAAGTCCTTTACAATAATGTGCCAGATATTTCACTGCATCACTTTCAATCAACAATCTTGGTTACCATTTTTACCAGTCAGATGTCAACAACAAAAAATTCTGAAAGCAGTTACATTTTTTAAACAAGTTATGCTTTGAAGGAGTGAAGTTGTAAATGACTAAATAGGGGCTTTGCATAATATAAAATTTTCAAGAAGTGGTATTTTGCTAAAACAATCTCAACACACAAAAAAGAAAGAAAGTAAAGAAAAATACAAAATTACCCAAGCTTTCCTGCACCTCTCCCTATGAGTTTTGCACAATTTTCGAGTATTTACACCATGTACTAAGCTCACTCTGGTTCCTCGGACCATTTCGCAGGCACCAAGGTTTCCAAAACCTCCCGTAAGACTGACTTTTCCGATTTTCTTTTTGTCGTCTGTAAAATTTGGGACAGGCAGGCCACTGCACAAAGCAGACACCTTACACCACTGCGAAAACACAGGCATCAGAATGCCCTTGAGCAGCCGAGACTCAAACGTCTCAAATCAATGGTACGACGGCAGACAGCACAATGTCGGAGCGCCCAGAGGGGCGGGGGAGAGAGAGGGAAGTACCTAAGAACGTAGTTGACACAGACGACACATTGTGGCCTGGAGCAGCTGTTGTTCTCGTAGATGAGCGTTGCTTGGGTCAGCACCCAGACGTAGCCGCCATGCTTGGACAGGAACCGGTACTGCCCGGTCTCGCACTGGCCCTTGGAGAACACTGCATCAGCAACAAGACAGGCGGGCATTTAATTAAAAGGTGTACATTATAACAGTGAATTTTGAACAAGACACAAAGGTAGTCAAACTACTCCTGGAACCCTGAGAACAGTGAACATTTTGCAAAGAGACCTAGCTGCTTTAGCACTCTATCAGAACTGCTTCAAGAATCCTTCAAGAATCCTTTAAAACTCCTTCAGGGATCTTTCAGGGCTTCTTTAAAACTCCTTGAATCCAGGGCTCCTTTAGAACTCCCTCAAAAAATTTTCAGGGCTCCTTTAGAACTCCTTCAAAGATGCTTCAGGGCTCATTTAGAATTCATTTAAAGATTCTTCAGGGATCCCCGTGAGCTCCTTCAGGGATCCTACAGGGCCCTGAAGAGGCTACATATCTTTGCGAAATGTTGACTGCCAGTTTGAGGGTTTCATAAGGTTCCTTTCAAGCACATCAAACTTGATTGCTAAAAAAAAAAAAAAGGGGGACTTGCAACACGGTAAATATTTGCTTTCGGTCAAGTTGAACGGATTGAGTAGCCTAGTTATGCAGGTGGCAAGAATAACTGGGAACAGAGAGTGTCCAGCTACCTGTATTTGTGTTTTATTTTGTAGTACACTCACTCTCTTACAGTCATTTATGACAATATATTCATTGAAGTAATAATGCTATTTATAAATCTAATTATCCAATATTCCTTCAGAATTCAGGTGCACAACAGGAGAGATATTTAGATACATATGCCATTGACACAAGTTCTGTGCATACCTTAAAGTGATCCAAAGCATCCCCCTTTCCACAGGAAAAAACGACCCAACAAAGCCTCAGCTGATACTTGCACAGAAGCAGCACAGTACTGTAATATCTCGAGATAGGCCACCTAAAATCGAAAGGAAATTGGAGGAAAATAATGAGTGAGTTAACTTTCGGTGTGCGATAAAACTAACTTGAAAAGTGCTAGCTTTAGACTTTGTAACCTGCAAAACTTGTCATTGCAGGGATGATCGAACCAAATTCGACTGCGGTTCCCAGTCAGCAGTGTTCGCCTATGTCCCGCCGTGGCTAAGTAAAGCCATTTCTGTCGAGATCACCATTGGCCAGGGCCCTGCAATTACTAGGAGTGGCCTATGCTTTGGTATTTTTGAAAAAATAGCAAATCATGCAAAACATATGGGTGGGTTATCTTTCGGGGTGGGGCATCTCTCGGGATATAATGGTACATACTTTGAGAACTCCAAAAGGGGTAGATCATAACTCAGAACTTGCTCCGCAAATACCCAAAAAATTAGGAAGAAAGAAGAGGAACAGTAAACAAACACACAAGAGAAAACTTTATAGCCGACGTGCACCCGGAATAAGCAAGGAGGATAAAAGCTCTCGGAGCCATAAACAGCGCCTATGGTGCGTCAGACCTTACTCAGCAGTCTCGAGTTGGCAAAACAGCCGAACACCAAAGGACTCTTTTACCACGAGGCTTAGAGCAAAACACTTTAAAGCCAAAGCCCTCCCATAAAACACCAAAGTGTTTGCGAACGCTTGGAATGCTTTTAGGTAGTGACACGCACCGAGCAATGAACTCAAAGGTAGGTTTCTCCGCAACAAAGTCTACGACTTCTTGTCATGGTTTACCCCTGAACTAATATATTAGGGACCACGACGATGGTAATTATTGTAAAGGCTGGTTTACACATCCACGTTTAAGCATGACCGACTGCGCAATTACAGCTTGTTACCGCTTAAGATGAGGGAGCACACTGCAATGCTGGCGCCATCTGTCCGGTAACCCTGGAAACACTTCCAATCTGTGTGTAACTAGACGGAAGGTTTCGCAGTATTTGCAAGATCGAATCTATGTGCTATCATCAAGAACTGATCCCTCGCAACAATGTCACAATTATTTCTAGAACATGGTAAAAGGATGATGCGTATTAAAATTAGAAAATATCCGGAGATCAGAAGTGTTCTAGCGCTAGCAGATAGGCGGCACCAGTGTGCCCCTTCGTCGTAAGCGGTTACGAGTGCTTGCAACGCATTTGATCCCGCCGAAAGGGAAGTGTGTGAAGAACCATCCTCGGGAACCCGGCTGAAGTTGACAACGTCCCAAAGCGGCGACTCCAAGAACGCAGTGCACTCTGCAGCCTTACAATGCGAGCAGGGACATAATCTCAACCAGCTCATATCGGGCAGAGTGTGCCGCCACATTGCGTCGCTCGAAAAGGGGGACGGGAGTTGTCTCGGGGACTTCAATCGTATCTAATGTGTCAGTACACTTTCAATTCTCCGCACACTCATTCCTACCGCACAAGAAGTGACGCACGAGGCGTTATCGTGCGTCGCTATCAGTTGCAAAGCTCTCGATCTGCCCAGACACCCCGCAATTTCCCAACACTGCAGCGACGGACGCGAGTCGGAGGCACGGCAACCGTTAAAATCCTCGACCTTCCTTCAGCAACTCCTCCCCAGCAGACGAGCCTCATTCCATCTTATGAAATAAGAGAGAATCGAACGGAGAGGGGAGACAGAAAAAGGGAGAGGGCAAATCAGTTCCCACGTGCAAACCCCCCGAATATGCCACTTGGGACAACAATGCGTTGCACACGCTGGTTGCTCCTCCCGCTTCCACCTGCCCCTCTCTGGGATGCAGGCAGTCGTACCAAAATAAAACGAGGAGAGAGCAGTCCCTCCTCATCCCTTCCGAATCGGGCCCACAAGAGGCAAGGTGGAGCACGTCCTCCCAAAAATACCTCCACAGCGGCCGCAGTGCGATGTGCACCCTCCCCTTCCAAGCTCCTCCATCTCCACAAACGCAAAGACCCACGCTCGCCCCAACCAACAACGAACGATGGCACTCCTCTCTGCGGCTCTTTGCGTCTGGTGGGCATTCGGGGGCTGCCAACCATTAATAGGAGACACCGGGAGAAGACAGAAGCCCCCAACCCTCCCCCCCACCCCCCAACTCTCTGACATACCGCCGTGCCGGCCAGAACTGGCAAACGTTCAAGGCTGGGTCTTCCCCCTCCCCCATCACCACCACTCTCGGCTTCCTTTATCTGAGCTCCGCTTCATCGTGGCCGGATTGCACCCTTCCCCCCCCCCCCCCCCCCCCCCCTGCTCTTTTATATTGCTTCCCACAACCCGTCCATCTCTGGGGCTTCAGTCCCACTGGACCGAGGCTGTAGTGATTTGAGAGTGGTGGAAGGCAGAGGGATGCAAAGGGAAGTGCTGAAGGGGTGACCATTTGTAAATGCTCAAAGGGCATTTCCGGACTCTCGCCAAGAATTGAGAGCCGGCGTTGTATGCGCGGTGAACTTGCCAATTTCCTGGAAGTTGTCGCGTTGATGGAAAGCCCTGGCCCTGTCGGAGCGGGTAAACATGCACAATAGGCATCATAAGAGGTGGAGGGGGGGAAGGAGGTCTCTGGAAATGTCGCTCGTGGAAAGCATTAATTACATTAGCGGGGTCGGAGCGCCTCGAATGATGGGGAAAGCGGCTGTTGAAAGATTGAGTGTGGTGTTTGTTCAAATGGTTTGGGGTTGTGTTTATTTTTCCCTCGAAAACTGCGCAGAAGCTGTCGGGAACTTCGTAGGTAGCCTACTTGCTATGTGATGCTGAGTCACGGCTGGATAAATGCATATTAGGAGAGGATGCGAGTTGGCCCGATATGCAGTGATAAGTCCCCCAGGCCAGCAGAGGTCAATGCTATACTCAAACCAGGTGAGAGAAGATGGTAAGCGGAACAATGGATAACTGGTAGGGTGACCAGACGTCCCATTTTGACTGGGAAGGTCCCATTTTAGAGGTTTTTATTGCAAATGAACAAAACATATGTTAAGTCTGACCTGCCTAAGCCACATTGGGCTTGACTGGCAGCGTCTTAAAATCAGTGAAACCATCCCGTTTGCAAAAGGAAACATGTAAAATAAAATCCACACAAAGAAATCAGAATAACAAAAGGAAACTAGTAAGCATTTTACGATCTGAAATTTCTCAGGGCTTTCTTGAGCTTGTATTTTGTTCTCAAATCTAGAATACTAGAAGGCAGTTTGTTCATAAATGCTGGTACATAATAACTCCGAGCTCTTTTTCCAAATCTTGTCGAACATTGAGGTATCCGGTAACGCTCTTTGGGTCTAAGAATACGAGAAGGTACAAATGGAACTTTAAATTGACTATCCCAAAAATGTCTATGAACAACAGTTTCCATAAATAGCAAGTTAAAACCAGGCAAATGCAGTGCTTTAAACACGTCAAAGTCCTTACCAAGGCATAAATCATAGGAAATGTTCTTTAACAAGAACGCAGAATCGAATTAATTTTAATTTGCCGACGCAGAGGACAATGACCATACACGGTAATACCGTAACGGAGCACACTGTAAACAAGAGCATGTACAACAGTTTTTCGAACGGATAGTGGCATAAAATACCTCCTGTTGTATAGCAAACAAGACACTGCACATATTTTCTTACACACATGAGCAAGATGAGTGTTCCAGGTTAGGTCACTGTCAAAGAATAGGCCAAGATATTTTATAGAAGATGCATGCTGTATAGGCTCACATGCACATGATAGATAATTAGACGCATGTAATCTGAAAAAGGAGGTCTTATTAACTTCTTTCAAAGGGTTGTGGAAACATATTAGCTGCGTTTTGGATGCATTATCTTTAATTAAATTAGCTTCAAACCAGTCCATAGTTTTAATTGCCGCAGTCTGTAAAGACGAAAAGGCATCTGAAAAATTGAACGCTCTAGATAAAATAACAGCATCGTCAGCATATTGAAATAGTGAAATTGGTACCACCATGGAGAGGTCATTAACATAAAGATTATATAAGGTTCATTCCTGACACCCCGACATCTTGTCTCAATAAAGCTTGTTTTGTACTCCGAGAGATATGGCCACCCTATTAAGTGATATTAGCACCCGCTCCTTGATGTTATATCACAGTCAAACATAAAATTCAGTTTAACATCCAAAATTAACACTATCCAATTGACTCGATAT